TTTTTTTTTTTTTTTTTTTTTTTTTTTTTTTTTCTGGATAGAGAGGTTTCTATAGGAAAGCAAGCAGCAGCATGAGTGCAGAAACGTTTATATTATTTGAATCGGCCCCAGGGCTGTTGCTGCTGCGGGCGAAGGAGTGGGATTCAGTTGCTGAGGATATAGATGCAGTACAAGAGGCATGTGCAGACCCTCAACGTTTTAAACAGTTAGTATCTTGTGAAGCTTTCTATCCTTTTGCTGATGCAGCAGAAGCACTAGAAACGTTGGTGGGTGTATCGACAGGTACTGTGCCTGCATGCATGCAGAAATTTCTTGAGTTGCATATGCCTGCTGCAGCCCGCAACAGCAACAGCAGCAGCAGCAGCAGCAGCAGCAGCAGCAGCAGCAAGAAGAAGAAAAAGCATCAGCATGAGCAGCAGCAGGATATGGGTTGTTCTGTATGTTGTTTAGGTGTATGTGATCCAGCATTAGGTAAATCTTTGAGTGAATTAGGTTATAATATAATATATAATACAACAATACAAGAAATATATAGAGGTATTCGTTTTCATTTATCTTTTTTATGTAAACAACTAAAACATTTACCTTTATATAAATTTCAAGTGGGGCTGGGGCATAGCTACAGTAGATATCTTATAAAGATAGATCCACGCATGCAAGATAAACCTATTATACAATCTATCTCTCTTATTGACTCTATCGATAAAACTATAAATAATTTTTCCATGAAAATTAAGGAATGGTATGGTTGGCACTTCCCTGAACTTATTACTATTATTCCCGATACAGAAATTTATACAAAAACTCTTCTCGTTGTACAACAAAAAGATCAGTTTCAACAAAAAGTAAATCTTTTTTTTTTTTATTTTTTTATTTATTTTTATTTTTATTTCTTTTTTTATTTTTTTTAGTTTTGTTTATTTTTAGTTTGTCTTTTGTTTTTTTATTTATTTATTTTTGTTTTTAGTTATTTTTATTTATTTTTATTGTTTTTAGTTTTTTTTTTTTTTGGTTTTTCGGTTTGTTTCGGTGTTTTAATGAGAAATGCATTGACAGACAGATTCACCTTCA